CTTTTCCCTTTCCATGCTTCAGGAGTAGGCAATCATACCCTTTCAGACTCTTTGATCAGCTCAGATGCTGCTGCAAATATCTTCATTATTTTATTATTAGTAGCATTTCTGTTGAACGTTAGTAAGTGTATGCTTATATATGTAACTATGTGCAGTCTTTTCTTGTCAAAATTCAGGTTAGTTTCAGCTGTCAAAGTGAGCAAAGTACAGTAGGTACCATACAAGGAAATTGATAAGGAAAGACTCCATGCAGGGGAATTTGTGCAAACTTGTCAAGGTCTAAGAGTAATACTAAGGGAGAGGAAGGTGTAACAAAAGGGAACAACAATATTTCCTCTTAGTAAGGAAATCTGATTTCAAAAGCTGACCTGACACTTGTCATTCTTCCTTCCACTCATCACTGCCCCAAATCTCCAGAAAATCCAGAAAGGAAGATATTGCCTCTCTTCACAGCCAATGCTTTATGCTGCTCTCTTTATACTGTGGTTACTATAGAGTGTTTGTTTGTTTATTGATATCATTTTTATGCCGCCCCCATCGCAGAAAGCCTCGGGGCAGCTTACACAGCAGGATAAAACAAACATAGAATAAACATTAAAAATTCGGAGCATCTCAGCTGCATCACAAAACCAATAAATAAAAACAACAGTTAACAATTAAAATATCATTTAAATAAAAAGGTCTTGGCCTGGCGCCGAAAAACAAATGACGGCAGCGCCAGGCGGACCTCTCTGGGGAGCGCATTCCATAGATTGGGTGCCACCACAGAGAAGGCCCTCCTCCGGGTGCTTACCCTCCTAACATCCTTCACAGAGGGCTCCCAGAGAAGGGCCTCCCCCGCCGATCTCAGAGGGCGGGAGGGCAAATATGGACGCAAGCTCTCCTTTAGATAACCAGGTCCCAAGCCGTTGAGAGCTTTCTAGGTGATAACCAACACCTTGAATTGGGCCCGGACTTCAATGGGGAGCCAGTGAAGCTGATGGAGGACTGGGGTTATATGAGTACAACACCCAGTCCCCGTCAGCAACCTGGCATCTCTATTTTGCACCAATTGAAGTATCTGGACCGTCTTCAAGGGCAGCCCCACATAGAGCACATTACAGAAGTCTAATCGGGAAGTGACCAATGTGTATGTCACAGTAGCTAGGCAATCGTTCTACAGGAAGGGACACAGCTGATGGATCAGCCAAAGCTGAAGGAAAGCGCTCCTTGCCACCACTGTCATTTGAGCTTCTAATGACAGCTCAGGGTCGAGGAGCACTCCCAGGCTGAGAACCCTGTCCCTAAGAGGGACTGCAACCCCATTCAGGACAAGGTCCAGGTCCCCCATCCTGAAGCCCGACCCACCTACCAACAGGACCTCCGTCTTGTCTGGATTCAGCCTCAGTTTATTGCTCCTCATCCAGCCCATTAACTCAGCCAGGCACTGGTTCAGTACAGCCACTGCCTCACCTGGATTAGTTGAGAAAGAGAGGTAGAGCTGGGTATCATCAGTGCACTGATGATTCCACAGCCCACACCTCCTAGTGACCTCTCCCAGCTGTTTCATGTAGATGTTGAATAGCAAGGGGGACAAAATGGACCCCTGCGGAACTCCATGGCATAGCTGCCATGGCACAGAGCCATAGCCCCCAGCACCACCTTCTGGAGTCGGCCATTGAGATAGCAGCGGAACCACTGCAAAGCAGTGCCTCCAACTCCCAATCGTACAAGCCTATCCAGAAGGATACCATGGTCAATGGTATCGAAAGTCGCTGAGAGGTCCAGGAGAATCAACAGGGACGTACTCCCCCTGTCTTTCTCCCTGCACAGGTCATCATACAGGGCGACCAAGGAAGATTCAGTACCGTACCCAGGTATGAAGATGGACTGAAATGGGTAAAGATACTCAGTTTCATCGAAGAGTGCTTGGAGTTGTCCTGCCACACCCGCTCTAACACCTTACCCAAGAACGGGATGTTGGCCACCGGTCTGTAATAGGCAGCCACCACTGGATCCAGAAATGCCTTCTTTAGGACTGGCTGGACTACCGCCTCCTTTAAAGGGGCAGGTACCCGGCCGTCCCTTAGAGAGGTGTTGACAGCCTCCAGGATCCAGGTCCCAATCCTGTCCTTGGCTTTCCTGAGTAGCCAAGATGGGCAAGGGTCTAGTAAGCAGGTGGTAGGATGGACTTGTCCAAGCACCTTGTCCACATCATCAGGCCGCAACAACTGAAACTTATCCATCAAATCTGTACCAGACAGCAACATTGGCACCTCCCCAGTAGGATCTGATTCAATAGTAGAGTCCAGCTCATGACAAATCTGAGTGATTTTTCCCTCCTAAATTGCCAGAAGTATTTGCACAAATGTAAAGAAATTCAATAGAGAAAAACATGACACAAATTTCAAGGCTTGACAATAATAACTAAATTTTGCACAACTTAAGTTACTGCTCCAAAATGAAGCTTCAATGACAAGTGAGGCTCGACACTGTATGGATGAGACCGCGAAGAGCAGCAGGGGGTTTTGCAACTCTTGCCAAGTGGCTCTGCACCAATCTCAGTAACCCATAATAACATGGCTCTCCTGGGTTTGGATGACATGACAACTCATTGTTGGAATGGTAACCCCTAAAAACAAAACACAGATTGTCAGGATGGCTTGTTTCTGAAAATTAAGCCACCCTGCAAAAACAAGTCTGGGTTTGGATGACATGACCACCCACTGTGGTTAATTAAGTCTGGTTAATTTAAAAGCAGAAGTGAAAGCTTCTGATGCCACAGAAAGAAAGCATACTATGTGAGCTCAAGGCTTGTGGAAACTCATGCATGTAACATAAAATTATGATTAGTATTATGTCCCCAAAGGTCCACACAGTGCATAGGTTTCCTTATGCAGTAGTCACTTCTATACAGGCAAACTGTTTCTGTGAAGATATTCTGAGTCACACCAAAGTACATGTAAAGTTATTTTTGAACAAGGTACTGACATTAATCTTATATATAATAACTCAGCCATTACTAATAAGATAGCATAGGAGGACAAAATCTTCAAACATGCACTGACTTTTTATCTCTCTGAGAATCGTAATAAAGCACACACATTTGACTGAAAATATTTGATTTTCTGTGAAACATAATTAAATCCGGTGTAATTGACTATCAGTAACAATGTAAATGAGCTTAAAGGTCCCATAATATTGTTATTTAAATATAATCTGTTCAAGGTCAGTACACTGATTAAAATGGGCTTTTTAGGATGCAGAGAATGACCTGCACGTGGTCTCATAAAAGCAGTGGCACAAGCAACAGGGATTACCATAATTACTTCATCACACTACAAGTAGCTAATGGGATTACACCCTAAGGGTAAGCAATTATTCACCGCACACTGTAAATGTGCTGAGAGTGGTAAATAAGAAAAAAGCATTATAATGGTATAACAAATAAGTTCATACATGGCAAGGTCAATCGCAGAAAAGTGCTAAAACTTCAAAAACTCCAGTTCTATGGACATTGTTTTGCTTTACTTCTGAATGTAACATGCCTATCATTTTGTTGATCATTTTCTGTTCCTCCTCACTTCTGTGATTTTTGGGGGGGGGTAATGAGCAAGTATTAGAGGGGGAATAGACATCCTTCCTGCATTAAAGAAATGAAGATATAATCATCCTGAAAGTCATTTGACTAAGACCTACAACCCCAAGCATGATCCATCCAACAGTTATTCCTTTTTGGACTCCTATTTGCACAGGCATCTCTTGGAAAACAAGCCCATACTTCTCCTTCAGCACTTCCAACTCTTTTCTGCTCCCTCCATTTTCTTTCTTAACATCATACTGCTAAGGAACTTTCTTTTGACCCAGCCCCCAGAAAGGGTCTCTTTTCCTCATGAAAATATACAGTTATAGCTGCTGACTGACTATTCCTGTGTTAAACAGATTGCTGGCTCATAGTGAAAGATCATGGGTGATGTTTTATCAATAGAAGCATCTATTATCCTGAAATTTGGAGAGCCACTGACTAGAGCTTAGGGAAAGCAACAGCCCTCCAAAGGGACATCTGGGCAGAGAAAACTGGTTAATTCCTCTGGCAAGGGCTGTGTTCTTTAGAAGCTATTCTTTGGAAATACACTGCCTGCTACTATTTGTTTCTAGTATGTTCACTGTGTGAATTTCTAAATACTGTAAATATTAGCAAGACACCAGGAGTCTCAGTAGTCTCTCATCCAACTAAACCCTAGTGGTTTCCTCTGGAACTTTTCACTAGTTAGAACTGAACAGCACATAACAGTAAGACTCTGGATTCCAAATAGGCCCAGATAAGCAAGTACGATGATGCTCCAATTTATTTGATAGGTTTCCGCAGGAAAGCTCTATTTATTCTGAAAGCTTATTCTCAATAAAGATTACACAAGCACCTGCATAAGATTAAGAAAAAAAATAGGAAGTCAGGTGAGCAGACTTTTATTTAGACAAAGGGATGTCCTCCCAACCCTGATCTCTGCTCCAGCCTCCCAACCCACTGAGAACATGGATGCTACAGGAAGATGGGGAAACCATTCTCAGGAAGATGAGCAGTTTTGGATGATGCAACCCTGCAATTCCTTTCAAAAGTGACATATTGTCTTCTATACTAACAATCAAATCCTAAGTCAATGGGAAAAACATCTATCTATCTATCTAAAATGTATTTTAATAATTTATGAATCAATCATTACTATTCTTATACCAAACAACTAGAAGGCAATCTAGACTGATCCCCTCTATTTGTTTCACATCACAAAATAGGCATATCTAAATTAATAGAAAATAAGATAATCTCTGCATGTACAAAATTGCACATCTGTGTCAAATCCTGCAGGGCTTTGAGTCATGCCTAGAGACGGCCATCTCAATGAATTTTCTTTAATAGACCATCAGTGGAGCACATCGGTGGACCATCAGCACTTTGTTCAATACCCATGTATTCAGGAGATCAGTCTGTACCTTTTCCATTTCGTGTAACCATTCTGGATTACCTTTAACAATCAGTTCTGCATAATTTGATACTCCAACTCCTCCTTCTGTATGAATCATGCAGCGGTAATTCCCAGCATCTCTTTTGGTAGCATTCACCACACTAAATGAAGCCACAAATCGCCGATCATTAAAAATTTTCATGTCCTTTACAGGTGCATCCCGTACAAGCAATCCCTGGTGAAAAACAGATACAAAAATTGTATTGCAAACTAACTGAAAACACACAATGGTAAAGACGTTTTGTGAAATACTTTTCAACAGAAGTTCAATTAACTTCTGTTAACTCTGACATCTAAATGAGTATGTATAAGAGTTGTTTTCAGTTTAGATGAAACAATGTAAAATTGCCAGCACCTCTTTTAGGTCATCGTAGATGAACCTGAATTAAACAAAGAAATAATCAAAATGTGTTAAGCAAGTCAGTGATGTAAGTTTGCCTACATAAATTGTTCCTGCGCTACATAACAAATTAGCAGTACTAAAGTATAACTCTACTACCTATACACCCAGTTCTTGCACGCTTCTATCCCATTCTCTCTAGGCAAATGGTTTTGTCCTGACTTTTTAACTTTGCATAGAAATGTTTGCAGATTTTTGTCTTAGGGAAGAGAAAACAATTTGTTTGGCAGCTACAAGAACAACTTTGAAAACAATAGATTAATACAGCCAATTATGAACAAAAGTTTTTTTCAGGGGCACTGTGTATTGGGTCTCATAAATCTGTGCAACTTTGAGCTTCTCTCTCATTCATACACTCACATTCTAAACAGATTTGAAGCTATTTTTCAGCATATGTTTTTAGAGTGACTTACAATGAAATAGCAAATCACAATTAAAACCATAAAGTATAAAATCACAATCAAACAGCAATTATTAGAGTAATAAAATAAATGCCAGCATAAAACCACATTATCATATCACATTAAAAGGCCTGGGCAAATAATGAAAAATAATACCCTGAGCCCTACTGTACTGAATAATTTTAAACTCTTCTCCATTATTCCATTATTGAATAAGATGCTAAATTTTATAGCAGCTTCTCATTTCCAAAGATTTCTGGATGTGGCAAGTTACGTAGATCCATTGCAATGGAAGAGAGACTGCTTTGGTTGTCTTGGTGAATGATCAACATCAGGAAGTGGAAAAAGAGTGTGCACCCCTGTTGGTTCTGATGGATCTCTGATTGGGTGTTGCTCATGATATCCTTCTGGAGCATCTCTCTGAGATGGGCCTGGGGACACCTTCTTTCTTGGAAGGTGGTGTTGTGGGATTCCTGCTTGACACTGTAACCATTGACCTGTGGACTCCCTCACTGTTTGCTGTTATCATCCATGCATGTGCTTTCTTTGTGCATGAATGCGTATTTCCTTCTCCTATACCATTGGCTTGGAGGTGGCATCCATGCCTCATTAAGAACCTGGCTTGGAAAAGGGGAGAAAAAAGCTATGCACTAGAGATTCGATGCATTCAATTATCCATTTCTAGTCCTTGGGCAGGAAAAGTTCATTCAAGACTTTGAGGGTTAACTTGCACATCCAAGAATCCAAAGAAAGATATTGGAGTCTGTAGGATCTCTGTGATAATCTGTATATACCTAATTTTCTCTAGACCATTGATTTCATGTGTTTTTCCTATATTTGTCTTCAAATTAAGTTAAAAATATGTTCAAATATAACCTGTCTGATTTTATGAAGTGGAAAGAGCAAGCTCTGCTTTCTGTACCCAAAAATGCCCAAAACATTGAACCTCTTAAGAAAATGCTGAACTCATTCTGTTAATTATGGTGCTGAGATGTCAACATGGTGAAAGTAACCTTAACTTGCTATTTATAGCTTTTGGAAAATTCCAAATAATGCCAACATTAAACTGACTCTTGTACATAATTCATGAGGTGAAAGTCAAGGTTAAACAGAACATTATGCCAAAGTAGCTGGTTATTAAACAGTAAATAACACATTTTAATTTCTTTAATAAGTACTGCAGTAATGAAGTCATTTAACTTTTACAAGTGATTTTATAGCATGGTCTTATTTAAGAAAGTGTTGAAATAAACAGTACTAAAATAACATTAAAAGACACTGTTTACAAACTTCAAGATTAAAAAGTTATAATAGATGGAGATAATTTTTAAACAATGACCAGCTGGGATCTTAAGGTGGGATGTAAATTTAATAAATAAATTAAATAAGAAATTATGTTTTTCCTATTCCCATCACATGGATGCTGACACAGGTATTGGAGTTTCTGTAGTTGTTACAGTGTCTTTCTTAATGTTGGAAAATCACAACTAGGAAGATTTAGCACCAGCCATATTCACCAATTACAGCTGAGTAAAAAGGCTGCAAAACAGCAGCAGGGAGTGGGCGGGGTGGAGAGAGGAGGCCAGAGGCCCCTTTCCCTGGTTTTATTCATGGGGGACAGGACCTTGCAAGTACCCCAGCCCCAGCCCTGGGCCAGGTGGGCAGCAGCAGAGCAGAGCTTGTGTTTCACCCCCACCACAGATAAAGCAAGCCGCAAAAGATCTGATTAAAGAGCCAAGACTGGCTCACTTGGAGTGAGGTGGTGGACTGCCCTCTTCCCCTCAGCACCTGCCACCGCCAGGTGATGTTCTCCAGCTCCAATCCCTGACTGACTTCCTGCCATTTACACAGCTGGAAAACTGCAACCATTTATGTTTGCTGGAATTTCTGAGCAATTTGGTTAAAAAAAAAACCCCCTGTGTTTTTCTCAGCCTTTTTATTCCTGACACAGAGTTGACAAATCATTTTTCTTTACAACCCTGTAGACAAATACTATGGAAGCCTTCTCAGATAGATGAAAGGTGGGCAAATGGAAGGAAATGGAAGGAATTATTTAAACATCATTTCAATTGTTAAAACATATGATCTGGCCAGGGCAACTTCTTCTCTTTCTCCCCCTATATTTTTATTTTATACTGATAATTTTAATTTTATATTTGTAAATCAATGTATTTTTTGTATTTTTATATTTAATGGTAATTTATTATGTACTGTTGTATTTCAATGTATTTTATCATGTTGTAAGCCGCCCCGAGGTTTCGGCAAGGGGCAGCATAGAAATGTTATAATAATAATAATCATCATCATCATCATCATCACATCATCTGCGAATCAGCAAACCACAAGAGTGTTAAAATTCTTGGATATCCACCTGAAAGCATATTTCTGCTTGTGTCCATATCTGAATGCAGGTCTTTTCTTTTCTTTGCTCACCAGGTTTCATGTTTATCTTTGCGTGCATTCTTCCAAACGTACCCTCAATTATGCACATTTTTTAAATATATGCGGCAGTTAGAGCGTTGGACTGGGGACCTGGGAGATCTGGGTTCTAGTCCCTGCTCAGCCATGAAACTCAGAGGGTGATTTCAGGCCAGTTACAGACTCTCAGACTAACCTACATCATAAGGTCGTTGTTGTGAGGATAAAAATAGAATGGAGAACTACAGAAGCTTTCTTGGGTTCCATATAGTTTGCTTCCAGTGACTCTGAGACCCTCTTCAGATGATGATTTTAATTTATTTTGGTGGCCATCTTTTCTCAGATGCCTTCTGTTCAGAGTATCAAAATGCGTATCATTCGCAGTAAATCATACCAATGGGGTTTCTTCTTGCACGGTTCCATGAACACTAACATTATTACTACTGTTTCTTGATTTAAGTTACCATATTACAGGACCATATCTGTTAACACTGCGATATAAGGAGTTGTTCTCTCTGCTGATCACACTTCAGCAACTGTAACAGTGGCGTTCAAGGCTCGTGGACGTACAACAGGACTGTAATAACTGCAAATAACTTTGCTGAATCATAGGTATGAGCTGTACATTTGAATTCATTTTTGTAACCATCTTAGAAAATGCACAAATTTCAATAGGGTGCACATAGAAAAAAGTAGTCTCTATTGTTTTTCATGCTTAAACTTATTATATCATATAGGAGAATGTGTTGAATCATTTCAGAGGTTTTAAAGTAAGGGAAAACAGCTGGTAAACATTAAAATGTTCTCTGAGTACAGAAGTGATTATATTTATTTTTGTGTAGTGTATATTCATACGGGAGAGTCCCTTCTCCGGGAACCCTCCATGAAAGAAATTAGGAGAGTAAGTACCCGGAGGAGGGTGTTCTCTGCGGTGGCGCCCAACCTATGGAATTCACTCCCCAAAGAGGTCCGCCTGGCACCGTCGTTACTGGTTTTTCGGCGCCAGGTAAAGACCTTTCTATTTAAACATCATTTCAATTGTTAAAACATATGAGCTGGCCAGGGCAACTTCTTCTTCCTTCTCTTTCTCCTCCTATATTTTTATTTTATACTGATAATTTTAATTTTATATTTGTACATCAATGTATTTTTTGTATTTTTGTATTTAATGGTAATTTATTATGTACTATTGTATTTCAATGTATTTTATCATGTTGTAAGCTGCCCCGAGGTTTCGGCAAGGGGCGGCATAGAAATGTTAT